GTAAAACATTCAGATTAGCAAGTGAATAACATCTTCTGCATTGTGTGACTTTAGTTCTATCAATGACATTGATTCTTAAAAAATAGCTTTATCTGTTGGCATTATTAGCTGGTAGCACTATGGGCTTATTATGTAAGTAATAATTACATTTGTTTACAAATCATAATGCCAACGACTCTAGGGAGAAATATAACACTCTATAAAGAAAACATTTAATATTCAAATCTCTGGGCTTATGAACTAACATGCACTGCTTATTACCCCTTTGGAATGAGTATTGGTGTTCCAAAATCTTCCTTCTCTTCTTCCCTTCCTCCCTAGTCCTTACCTCCATTTAATCATCTCTGAGTTTCTCAGTTTTATCTTTCAAAGGTCCCAAAATAAAAATGAGGTAAGAGTTGGTCCAGAAGAAGCATTTTCTCAAGCTAGCAGAGGGCATGGCCAGTCTTGTGTTGGCCCTGGTGCTGAGACAGTCAGCTAGTCACTATGTTCGCTTGAGTAGTCCCTCCTCTTTGGAATTTGCTTCTCTTCTCGGTTCACAGAAGCCCAGGTCCCTGCCTCTCGGGACACAGTTCAATCTTTATCTACTTGGTCAGTTATTTACTTCATGATTATTGAGGTTATGGTTAATGAATGATGCCAACTTAAGCATTTGGGGGACTTGTGTTTGAATCTACAGTCTACATGGTAGATAACAGACAAATATTTTATCCTTCATTTTAAGAGATGGGATGTGGGCCTAGAAATTTGCCAACATATTTTTTTATTTAGTTTTGAAGCAACATTTCACTCTATTGCCCATATTGCCTAGACTGTCCTGGAACTCATAATTCTCCTGTTTCAGCCTTCCCAATAGTTGGAACAAGTAATTATTAGTCATATAGTATTACTGTCTATGTTTTGGTTTCATCAAGAGAATTTGGTTAATCTTAAGGCTTTGATTATGAACCTGAAGTAATTGAAAACAATAAAAACATGGCAAGATAAAGGCCAGGACTACTAGATGGTAGTGAGGGGGAAATGCCTTGTCTTAATAGCTTGTAAAATGTTTGGGAGATCAACTCACATACAACACTTCCTTTCCACCATGCAATGACTGGAAGCTTTGAAATTTATTAAGGTGTTTGGAATATATAAATAGGAATCTCAGCTGGTGAGACAGTTGGGCAGGTAAAGGCACCTGGTACTTACTGAGCACAGTGCGTTCAGTTTTCAGTACCCACATGGCCAAAGGAGAGAACTGGTGCCTGCACATTTGTCCTCTGACCTCTATACATGTGTCATAATGTGGATGTGTTTGCCCAGTCACAATACACAAAATAAATACATTTTTAAAATAAATAAATAAAAATCCATCAGGGGTGACACTCAGTTTTGGGGCTGGTGGAGGCTTAGGAACAAATGAACACCAGGAGAAATCCTGGTTTTCAATTCCCTGACCAAAAGTCTCAATTGAAATTGACTAAGACTGATATGGATTCTCTGCTCTAAAAGTTCAGAGAATAAAAACAGCAGTGTGACTGAAGCAGCTGCTGATTCACCAGGAGTAAAAGCGTTTGACTATCGCTGTGTTTTCCCCTCCTTGGCAAGTGCACATTAATACACTGCTTTGTTTTTTTTTTTTTTTTAACTTAGAAGCCTTTGAAATGCCATGTATCTTTTGAACCCTGAACACTCTACTGATCAACACCATACTACATAAGCAATGTATCTATTTGGCTTCATTTGATTACAATCACAGATAAGCAGAGAAGACCCATTGAGTATGTACTTATACCCAGAACTTTGCTAGAGACATGAGAGGTAAATGAATCCACCCCCACACCCACTCAAATGATTAACAGTCTTACTGAGGATTTAAGAATCATTTGCATTAGTAAAATTACATATAAAGCTAACTAAACATGAATAGTCTTAAGACTTCTTTTGGTCCAATGCTATAGCCATTTTCATTTAGGTCAAGCACTCCAGGATACATGGATGCATTTAGCCTAAGAGGCTTCCTCAGATGGACTTGTAAAGTAATGGATCGGGGACTTGGCCACAGATTGGAGTTATCATTATAGAGAAGCAGATTGGACATGAATCAGTAAGATGAAATTTCAAGATGGGTGGGATTGAAGAAGAGAAGAAAATCATATTCTTAACAGGAAAGGCTTGAAGAAAAGCGCAGATTTGGCAATGAATATGTCATAAGGAAAAGACAACCAGAAAACAGGTATGAGGGAAACTTACTTCTACTCTGTTGCCACTGATGGTCTACACAAATATGATGGGCAATTGAACTGCCTTAAAATAGATGGGGGGGGGGGTGTTCTTCCGTCTGTGCTCAAACCTTTCATATCACTTATGTTATCCATAATGCCCGAGAGTAAATGATAAAAATATGATCCTTAAGCTTATCAATCCACATGCAAAGTCTATATTTGTTAATGAGTTGAATAGTCAATATTGTAGATATATGGTATAGTTCAAAAAAGAAAAAGAAATCATTGCCTTAGGAGTCAGAAAGAGTTGGATTCAAGTTATTATGTCACTTAATTCCTGGCACATCTTATCTGACCTCTTTAATTCTGAGTTTCCACAAAATACAAGTGGTAATAATAACAGCAAATAGCAATACAAATGTCATGACTTGTATTTGTGTTTGTTCCTGTTACTAGAGATGGAACCTGGAGTCTCATGCTTTCTAGGCAAGGGCTCTACCACTGAGTTATTATCCCACCCAACTCCCCTTTTTACTTTCAAATACTGAGACAGGGTCTCATTAATTATCTTAAGCTTACTTTGTAGCTCGGAATGTCCTTGAACTTCCAATCTTCCTCCTTGAGTCTCTCAAGAGTAGCTATATTTATAAGCCTGCACCACCTGCCTGCATTATATTGGGTTTTGAAAATTAAATGGGGTAGAAATTGCAAAATCCCCGGTGCACAGAAGATGGTGTACAAGGCAACAATATTATTAATTTTTATATTTGAACAGAATGGGATTTTAAATTAACTAATGTTCACCTGATATTACAACTTAATTCATATACAGCACAACTGTTGTAGGTTAAAATAACACAAACATAGTATGTCACAGAAGTTTCATTGTGTTTAATGGGAATTACTTTGCCAGCTCTTTTCTGTCTGTGGCAGCAAGAGAACACAGTTGAGATTAGGGAAATGGCTGTGTGGAAGAGGTGAGGCGGAGGGTGGACACTGTGTAACTATGGGCTGAAACTTCTTGTGCGGATGCCCACAGGGGACGGGTGGAGTTGTAGCTTCAGGCCACAGAATGAGTCTCCTGAGAACCTTCCTCCAGGGAGAAACTGTCACCAGCGGAGAGCAGTGGTACAGACAAGCATCAGGTGCTCTCCTCGGCCTCTGTGTCAATGAAGTGCTGCCTCGCTGAACACCGCATAGGTCCTTATTTCCGTTAAATGGCACACGAATGCCCTTTCATTTTTTGATATCATTTCACAAAGTAATATCCTCTAAGATGAGAAAGTGAAGTTCAAATGGTCGCGCCAGGTGGTCTAAGAAAATCAGAACAAAAGTTGCCTTCAAAAAATCAAAAAAAAAAAAAAAAAAAAGCAAAAAAAGCATGTGATGAACTAGTCAGGGCCTTAGTGGGAAAAATAAGTATAATTCTGAGCAACTCAGCTCCTTTAATCTGCTCTTAATATTCTTTATTATTATTGCTACTTTGTGGATAGTCACTATTATATTACTGTCATTATTCAAATGGCAATCACCCTCTCTTTCATCTGTGAAATTTTTTATATAATGCACCATTCTTATCCAGAAACTTTTCTTTTCTGTTTACTTGTCTAGTTTTCCTGACTCACTGTGTGTAATTTGCCTGGAATGTATCGTTTTAGTGGGGAAAAAATTCTTATTTACATCAATACAGGGACTATTACTGAAAAATTTTTTTTTCCTTGACAGGAAAGTAAAGCAGAGTCAACACTAATATGGAATTAGAAGTCAGGTCTAAATGATAACCATACGTTATATAAGAGTGAAATCTGTATTAAGAAAAATTCACTATAAATTATAGGAGGTCTGGGAAGAGCTTTCTTAATATCTAGGGCTGAGTAAACAGGTGCTTAGTTGAGCTTTAGTGGATAATAAATTTACAATTCAAAATACACTAGAAAAACCCTAGTCATTCCCTCTATTCCATGTTGTAACAGTTTTCGTCATTATACACACACACACACACACACACACACACACACACACCTTGAATGGCCCCAGTGAATAATCTCTGTACAGCTCCCTTGATAACTATATAGCTAGTGCCAGGGCAATAATATCAATTCAGACCCATAAAGATCTTAAAGGTGAGGGTTTATATAAGGTTTATTTTTGTTTCTTACCAAAAAGAGGTATTAACATCTCCAAGAGGCACAGAGTACTTTGCTTTCAAAGTAAAAGGAAAAATTCTTATCAGTTTTTCCTAATGCTGACTCAGTGCAGGACCTGAGAAGCCCCAGGAAAACTCACGAGCACCAAACACCCTTTCTTTTGCCCACTCCCCTGCACTGAAATCCCTGCTGTTGGTGTTGCTATTTCAACTTAGTCTGTGGAGAAATACTGAAAGTATCACTACAATGGTAACAATTCCTGCTAGAAGAAGCCAGGCATCATCCAAAGGGGCAGGGGGGATAAAATGTGGACAAACTCAATTAAATTCATGATCTTACCTTCTTCTGGTCACTCCAGGCTACAGTCCAGTCATTGTGCACTCAGAAAGAGAGGAAAGGAACAAGCATTTTTTTTTTCTACAAAGCACACAAGCAAATGGTCTTTGAGTACTCAAGCACTCTTGAGCTTATCTCTCTGTTTTAATTATGATAGTAAAACAATAAAAATGAGATTTAATTTTAACTAACATTGGTGTGTCTGAGGCAGTAAGTAAAGGTGATAGGGTAGAAAAATATTAATCCAGGCTGGTTATTTAACATCTGCCTGAGTGTGAGGAGGACACTGTTGAAGTACCTGCTCAGGACAATGAAACTCCTCAAATGTGCTTTTGTCTATCGCCGCTTTCTCATTGTGGTTCTCAGTGTTCTCTTTTTATTGCCACTACCTCTCATCATCCGCACCAAGGTAAGTAAGCCTGGAGCACAGACTGGCACATTTCTTGAGCTATTTAGGTTGTCCTTCGGTATTGATAATGGTCTGATTCAAAACTGAATGAACGGTAACAGTTTATGCTTCGCTAACTATTGTATTTGGTCTATTTTCTTTGTTTTCAATGGTTAGTCTTATTTGCTTCTCAGCATTATTAACTGGAATAATTAAAATAATAATCAATGAGAATTGTTTCCCACCTGTCAACTAGATGAAAGGAAGAACAGAAGAGACAGAGCCCTTTAGATCTGATCTTTCAAGTTATCAACCTGTAAGGAGCATCATGGATAACAATCCCTTTCCCTGAGAATAGGCAATAATAAATTTCTGTATAAAAGACTAACGGGGATGTCCAGTCTTGTGACATTGTGTCATGATGCTGTTGTCAGCTACAAATGTGTTGTGCTGTGTTCTTAGTTATCCTAGGATACAGGAGGCCTGTGGGCTGCTAGTTAGACATCCCTGGGCAGAACAAACAGCAGTGTAGGGTCTAGAGTTAGCTACAAAACTTCCCAGAAATGTAATTTCCTCCTGGAATAGCGACACCAAAAATTTGAAGCTGTCTTCCAGGTTAATCAGAAAATGTAATAAACCATTATACCATGCTTTGATCATTTCAGGTTTTAGCGTACTTACTTCAGTGTGCTTATGACTATCTTTTCAGCTTGCTTTTGAAAAGAATCGGTCTTTTAAGTCCAGAATATTAATCTCAATGAATTCCCCGTATTTTGGTGATGTGATCTAAACTAGCAAACACTCAGCAAGCACCTCCTCTGTGCCAGACACAAGTGTGATTTGGTGGTAGGAGAACAGGTGCTGGAGACAGGCTCTCTGCTTGAGATGCCATATTTAGCATTCGCAAGCTGTGTGACCTGAACAACTTACATAACCTTCCTGTGCTTCTGTTTTCTCATGAGAGCAGAGTCATAGTGGGCTTGTTGTGAGGATGAAATGAACAGTAAGCAGGGGACTCCAAGTCTCCCTTCCTGTGTTGCCTGCCCAGGTAGGGTGATTCTTACCTCCTGTGTTGTGCGGTCCCTCCACTCAGTAGTAGAGAACCTACCTGATGCTCTTTTCTCATGAGTACTATTGGATTAATAAAACAGAGTAAGTAATTGCAATACACTGGGAGCACCAGCTTCTCTCAGAAGTCTTAGCCACCTATCTGGAAATCTCTGAAGAAAGTTCATATGCAGTAATAGAGTATTTTGTATTCAGCCATGGCCCTCTCTACCTGCAAAGCCAGCAGAGTGACTGTTTCTGCTTCACAGCTGTGGGTGCTCCTCTGCCAGGCATGATCTTTCTATTGCAGCTTCCTACACTTGATTTCCACGCATTAAAACTAGGCAGTGTGTGACGCTGGTAGACAAACCAGATAACAGAACTGACTCCCACACACAGAGCTCTAATTCAGCTCCTCCCCATCGCATTTGCAAGTCTGTTGGTCTATCTAGTGTGTATAATAATCTCTTTTTAAGCCCCTGATCTTAAGACTTTCCAGATGTGGCAGAATCTTCTCATGGATACATTTTGATTCACACATTGGTGCTTACCATATTTTAACATTTCTGCCTTTAACATTTCTCGACATAGACCCTTAGCTCATTGCAGAGAACACAGGAAATTAAACTAGAGTCAATCTTGTGCCATGGCTACACATCATTTGTGCTGTACTTCTGATGTACAAATGAATCTCACTCCAATTACCATCCATAATTTTAGGGGAAATAAATATGAGCTCACTGAGAAAGAAAACAAATACATAAATAAAAAGCAATAATATGAGTTCATGATTCACTAACTGGAAAGTGTGTTGTTGCTAAGAAATGTACTCATTGATTTTTCTTTTCCAAACATGCAATGATAAAAGTATATTACATCTATACATTAGCCCAAGTACATTGAGTGCAAAGTGAAGAGCCCCGTATCACACTGCCTTTATGAATGTATTCCTCTTTTGTTTCCTTCTAATCAACTCATTTGTTAAAATTCAATTAATGTTAATGTGAAAAAAATTTCCTAACAGAATTTCATATTTTGGCTATTTTGAACAGATATTTTATCATTAGCTAAATGCTAACTAAACTTAAAAGAGCATTATTTTAACTCTTGAAATGAAAGCAGGAAAAAAGGTATGAAATTTGATAGAGGCTTACATTGACAAGGATGTACATCAATTTGCTGTCAACATTTTGTTACTGAAGTGAGGAAGCCTACACTTGTAGAGACACAACAATAAGTTAATAGAAAAATTCAAGCAAAACCAAGTCCAATTTGTCCTTTAAAAACACAACGAATCTAAGGTGACATAGAACCAAGAAGCAATGAAACATTGACTGATATTTTCATTCTTCTACTAGTTACTGGTGCTTTTAGGGACTGGCCTTGTCTCCTATCTCAATTCCGCCTATAGTCAAGAAAGTGTCATCAACAAAGGGACCCTCAGAGAATTTTGAAGCAACGTTAAGAGGGAAAGAGAAAGGACATCTTTACAGCACACTCCTCTCTTCTAGGCGTTCTGCCAAATGCTTTGCTCAAATCGTCACATTTAACCTTCTAACAAACCAACAGACGACAGCTGACATGCCAGCATTCTCATTTTACACTTGAAGGAATCCATGCTCAGAGACACTGAATACACCAAAGGCTGAGAAACTTGTTTTGAACTTGGGTTTTGTCAAAACTCAGAACTCAAGTGTTAACAGGTGTTTTGGACTCTTCTCAATTTTGTGTTTTTGAAGGCTTATTCCCTGTGGATTGTTAATCATTTATCAACAACTCAGGCAGTTCTAAACATGATAATGCTCCCAATAAGTCAAAGAGCAAAGGAGGCTTATCCTAGCCATTTCCTTAATTAGCGTTATGCTATTTAGAGGCTTCAGGTAGAAAAATGTCATTGAATCCCAGCACTGGTGAAAGGTCTTTTGAGAAATGAAGCAATGAGCCAGGCAGGGGTGTGCCATTTCCTGATGTCACAGAGTCCTAGCTGTATCACATGATTATGTCTGCTTGTCAGGTTATGGTGACCCGTTTCCTTCCAGTGCTCACTGAGTCACGGCACTGGACTGGTATCTTCATGCCATTTTGTTGAAGAGAACTCTTGCCCAAGTTTTTCAATGCTTTCATTGGAATGGTATTTTATAAGGAAGGAGATTGTGCCTTAATCCTGAAGCTTCTAGGCCTAAGTCAAATAGAAGACCAGATTTATTTTTTACCAATTGGTTATTACTATCATTCATTCAACTCAAAGTTTTCAGATTAAAAATAAGAAAGAAAAACGAGTAAGGAGTTTGCTATAATCTGGTTGCTTGTGTTTCCAAATACTTGTCAGAGTCCATTGTCTGACCAGCAATGTTAATTACAAGTGAATTTCTACATCTGTATTACTTCTGTGTTGGTAAGAAGTTCAATTCCAATGCATTGCTGTAGATGCTCCTTTAGTAAATTATATCTTCTTATGAATCTGAAATACCAGAAACACTTCTAAATTCTCACCTAAACACAAAGGTACTCCCATTTCTTCCCCAATTAGGTGTCACTGATCGGTAAACAAACTCTAATGCAACTGCTATTTATTTGAATTAAATGGTCACAGTAAATTTTTCTCACTTTAAAGGAGGAATTCCCTAAATATTCCCATACAGAAGTCTGTTAACACTGACCTAGGTGGTGTGCCACAATTTCATTTATTTTCTCTATGTAAATGTATTCGTTTATGACTATTTCTAGCTGTTTGCTAATTTCAATCTCTTCAGTATGTGTTCAGTTTTATTTCCATTCTTATTTTTACAGTATTTTGGCTTTTCTTGCTATTACTAGTTATGAAACAAACAAACAAACAAAAAGATTAAAAGGAAGATCAGCTAAGGACATAGCTCAATCAGGGCAGTTCTTGTTTATCATTCATAAAATCCTGAGTTAAAGGCTCAGCATTGTGTATACAAGGTATGATAGTCCATGCCTATAATCCCCGTACTTGGGAAGTAGAGGCAGGAGAACTAGAGGTCAAGGTTAAGGCCAGCCCTGGTTTCACTCTCTAGATACTGTCTCTATAAATAAGTAAGTAAATAAACAAGCCTAAATTGTTTGAGAAGCAGTAGGAAAAGCCCAAGCAACCATATATTATCGAACTGGGTGCATTTCTCCAAAGTCTGCCTCACTCCATCCAGCTGATGAGCGCATCATCATGGCTATTTTTTTCACAATAAAGAGACAGGGAAAGAATCATATGGTTACTGAGAAACATTTACTAGTTGATGGATTGTAAAATGCTGGTCACATTTCAGTTTTAGGTACTTATGGCTTGTTTTTGGAAAACTATTTTACAGCAAGATAGACTCAAAGGGAGAAGACTGTGGGAGAGTCATGATACAAGTAGGAGCCCCACACCCACCCGTGTGTCCGCTGATGCTTTCCCCTCCATTACTCTTCTGTTACTGAGGATGTTCTCTTTCCGTCTAGACTTTCCTGTCTCCACCCATCTTCCTCCCATTCTCCAGTCTTGCTGTACTTTCCTTGAGATGACAGTCTTCATCTCTACTTTTCATACATCTTTTCACACCCACTTTTCCAAATATCTCACCAGAGTACTGATTTCAGAATATCTGCTTGATCCAGTTGTGATATCCAGTCAAGCATCTTTGACATTGGTAGAAAACTTCAGCTTCGACCTGTGTCCTAATAACCTCTCAGATCCATCTTTCACAGTCACTATTTGCAGTCTCTAGAGTACCAGTGAATATTCCTGCACCTCTCCCTTTGCACATGCTCTTCCTGGAATGCCCTTCTCCTTTGTCCTGCCCCCTCTTGAGAAGACAGGCTCAGATTGATGCAAACTAAGAATCATCATGGCTACTCTTGTTTTAATCATAGCTAAGTTGGCCCCATTGTAGTATGTATTCATGCAGCAGTTATCTTTCTGTAAGTGCTCTAAGAGAACCATGCAGATTGTTAGCCTGTGTCCTCTAGCCTCAAAT